TAGTCATCGGTCTATAAGATGCGCCAAATAGGATTTTCAACGATGTTTTTTTCGAGAGTACGCCAATGGCGTATCATATTTTTATAGAAGGCAGAAACAATATTTACAAGATACCAGGCCAAGATGCGAACATCTGACTGGCGGGAACCCCACACCCACACCACTATCACACACTAGGTCGCTCTCTCACAGAATGGGTCTAAACCACCTACACCTAGTCCAGCTAACCTCCAATCGCGGACCTCAGCCAACACGTGGCCAGTCAACTGCGGTGGGGACCTATGCTTGTGCAGTCTATGAAATACCCTAGCGTTCCGTTGCTTCCACAACAGCCAAACAGTCGCAATCACGAAGGAGTCGAAGCCGCGTTTGGTTCGGCCAGCGAAGTTTTTCCTCTTGTCCAGCCACCACTCTGTGAACGAGTCCGCGTGAGTGGGCGGTAGGATGTTGATGTGTAAGGCCTCGAAACATCTATGCCAAACTTCTCGAGCGTATGGGCATTGGGTGAGGATATGATCCACGTTATCCTCCTCTTGCAGGCAAGTGTAGCAGGGTGAGGGGTCATCTTGTAACCCGTGCCTTGCCCTCCGATCTGACGTCCACAAGCGATGTTGCACAGCAAGCCAAGCGAAGATTTTGCAACGCAAAGGGGCCCAACTCCTCCAGATGCAGTCAGCCGTTGGGGATCTAGTAACACCCATGCAAAGCCTAGAGTAAGTTGATCTAGCAGTATAGACGCCCTTGGCGTCAGCCGGTCAATGAAACGTATCCTCAAGCTCCTCATTTCTGTCCACTGTGGCGATTGCATGGCAGAGGTTAGCCACTTGAATGTGAGCTATGAAAGAGATGTCACCATGCACATCCAGGGACCATGCGTTGTTGATCAACGCCTGATGCACCGTCCGAGTATTGCGAGCGCGGGTGCCAACCAGCTCGAGAATAGCAGGGGCGATCTCTCCGGCCGTGAAACCATGAATCCATCTGTCCTTCCAAAATAAGGTTCTCTCCCCATTGCCCATCTCAAATTTCACCATGTTGTTAAAGACCATCTTGGCCTCCTTGTCTTCAATCATCGGAATACCTTGCCAAGGCCTGTTGCAGTCCACTCTACGCAACCATTCCCGTCTGACACGCAAAGCCAGTGCTTGCGTCCTGAGGCTTTTCACTCCGAGGCCACCCAGACAAATGGGTCGAGCTATTGTATCCCAAGCAACTAAGCATTGTTCGCCGTTGACCTTGTCCTTTCCGGCACAGGATAGAGCAGAGAGAAGATGCCCGTCTGTAGGAATAAAGACGATCTGTTGCCATAAACTTCACTGCTAACCAACGGCCTTTTTGCCGTTGTATGGAAAGTCCGTCTATTGTTCTCCTAAAAATCTCGCGATCTGTTTCCCTTGCCTACAAAACTTACCACGCGCACGACCAGAAATTTACATCGTGGGTATGCTACAGATTGTCCAATAGGCAGCCTACGAGCGTCTTTTGTACTCTCTGTAAATTGACGAATACGTAACCTATAGACAGCAGCTATCTAAACTGATGCACATGCCCTCACTGCCCGAGCGCTCGGCTAAGCAGGACCTTACAGTAGAGGACTGATCCTCAAAAAAAAATAGCAAAGGACCCACCGTCAGCGACGGAAGGGGACGCCAGGTGGCCACCTACCCCACACGGCAGCCTCTCTCCCGCTCCTTGGGTTCTCCGCCTCTAGCTTTTTCTTCGCCCACGGCGGAATAAACAAAAACGATTAATTCGTTTATTGTGGTGACGCGGCAAGCCCACGGACACACCAACAATTCCCCCCTCTCGGTGCTTCCACCCCACTACTCGCCGGTGATCTGATGGCGGCGGCCGGCGCACCGCTGCCGCGCGCCCTCTCCGCGGAGCTGAGGTGGGCTCCTCCGCTCGCCGCGGGCCTCGCGCCGCCGCGGCAGGGGACCAGGGCTCGCGCGTCGTGGCCCCTCCCCCGCCAGGTACTGTTCTCTAACTTGGTTTCGGTGATCGAATCGTCCTTAATTAGGTTATATACTCGGCCAGTTCGTCACGCGAGGGGCATGGTGCGACCGCGGGTGCCCTCTCCGCGCGTTTGTTAACTGGAGCTAGATGCGAGGTTTTGGTGCAATTTTGAGGGGGTGAGGATACGGCGGCGGGTGGCGATGGGCGCAATGTAGATGCGATCAGGGTGACTGAAGGAATGCGTTTCTGCTTCAATTGATACAAGCTACATTTCTTGCTGGATGACGTCTCAATGCCTACTGTTTCCTTCGTCATAGTTATGTTTGTGATTGTTCACTTAGTCACCAAGCTCATATCATCCCGAGCCAGAGGCACTAGAGGAGGAGTGTTACAATTGCATGGGTTGATCGAACGTTTCATGGACCTTTTTATTTTTACAGAAAACTCAGGCCCTGTGTCGGGTGACGCGTTGGCGATGGCACTTACTGATACGATTTTTGTGTAATTTTAAGTGTCCAAAATCGTGATAGGCCTATAGTGTAGAAGTAATGATGCTTGACAGCTGTAGTTTGTAATGTTACCACAGCATGCTTAGTAACCAAACAAAATACTTTGTGAAGTAGGGAGCCGATAATTCAACTTGTAAAAGCAGCTGCCATTTCACATGTGAAACCTGCATGACCTGTTCATTTGTGCAGCAACTGCTAATTTAACTACCAATTTCTTGCATTTTCACAGACGTTCTGAAATTTGAACCGTGATTATATAATCCCATTGTTCTGGTTAGATAATGGTCGATTTTTGTACTACCACCAACACCCTGAAATTTAATTATGGTCTTATTTTTTTGTATTGTTAGGAAATTGTTTTTAGTCGTGGCCGGTTGATATCGACTAATTTCAATTCAAGGTCATTGTTGTGCCCTCCTTGCCATTGTGCTCAGGTGGCTTTGGCTGACGCAAAGATTGCTTATCAGGCTGATCCTGATAAGCATGCTGGAGTTCTGGTAATGAAGCTTGAAATTATGCAGTAAATTGTTGTTTGCCCACACTGATTAATTATTTCTGTTTTTTCCCTACAGGCCTATGAACTGGTTCAAGGGAACCTTGTAAGTGCTGCACTCACATCAATGATTTATCACTGGTTGTCAAATTCTGTTGTACCGTAATTCGTTGCCTGAAATGTTCTGGCGCAATGCAAGTAATCATACTTACATCATCTCAGGTACAATGGAACTCGTTTATGGACAAATCGATACCAGATCCACCAACAGCTGTACTCCTTCATGGCATCCTTGGAAGCGGGAAAAACTGGGGTAACTGAGCATTTTATGTTTGTCTGAGTTGCGATTTCGATTCGAGTTTGAAAATGAGTGAAATTCTTTGGCATATTTTAAAGATGTTTTGGCTCAGTCAAGGATATGAGATTACAAATTTAATTAATTATATTTATCATGAAGGGTCTTTTGCAAAGAGGTTAGCTCAGGAATTTCCAATGTGGCAGGTCAGTACATCTAAAATTCTGCTAATGATCTGAACAACTTAACACTACAGGGAAAAAATAAAACTAAAACCTGACTTCCTTTCATGCAGTTTCTCTTGGTTGATTTGCGCTGCCACGGTGACTCAGCGTCAATTAAGAAAAGAGGACCTCATACTGTTGCCTCAACTGCTTTTGACGTTCTAAAGCTGGTTTGTATTTTCTTGTCACTACTAATCTCTCTTTTATCTTCTAATATCTACACTAAATGTGTTTTGGCACATCCAATATGAATACAAATGAAATATGTAGCTTCTTTGGAAGGGCATCATAAAAGAGTGAAAGACTACATGCATTTCTGTGTAATATTTGTATATGTGTGTGTTGTCTAGCTTTATACATTGTGAGATAGGCAGCATTTCATGTGCTTCGCGACTTAGCATACCTTTTGATGCCATAGTATACACGTTAACTTAGCTTGCTTATGGGCATTGTTTATGACTAGTGAAGCTTTAAGAGACATGGTAATGTCACATGTGGATCATATGATATGGAATGCAGATTACCTTAGGCGGGATGATCTTCTGCTGATTTGGTTGATTGCCATGAAGTGCTTGAAGCTGTTGCAGGCACAGCACCTGCTTTAAAAAATTGAAATCATATCTATTTCTGTTTTTTTTTCTCAGCCGATTTATCTACATTAATTTTCCCTTTTACTATCTTATTACCCTATGCTAATCCGTCTAAATACAACAGATAGGGCAACTCAGGCTGTCCCCTCGAGTGTTGGTTGGTCACAGCTTTGGTGGAAAAGGTTTTTCTTGTTCTATTTTATTTCTCCTAATTGATATGACATACACCTTTTAGGTGTGTTGATATTGTACACAATCCATAACTATCCAGCTACCTAATTGTGCTTGCAGTGGCTTTGAGTATGGTAGACCAAGCTGCAAAACCACTTGCCCGTCCTGTCAGGGTAAGCTTAACTACCTTTTCCGTGTTATATGAGTATGGCAACAATGGAATGCCAACTATTATTAAATGAGCTAAATTTCTTATGTGTATTCTGTTCCTTAAAGGTATGGGTTCTTGATGCTACTCCTGGCAAAGTTCGTTCTGGGCTAGATGGCGAAGATCATCCCGCTGAACTTATTGATTTCCTCAGAAGAATGCCTGTGCAGGTTGGCCTTTTAGAACTATCTATGCTTTTATACTGTGGAAGTGCATTCTAGTTCTAGTCTGGAAAAGCGTCTTCTTTATGATTCATTGTTTGTGTTTTGCCATTGAAAATCCAGGTTAATTCAAAGCAGGAAGTTGTTGATGCTCTAGTTAAAGCAAAGTTTTCTGTGGATGTTGCACGGGTATGCTTGTACATCACCCTTTTTTTGAGATGCCCTTGCAAATTTACTTGATTTTACTGGTCTAAAAGAGCTGCTTGATTTTACTTTATCCAATGAAACAAAAGGCATTTCAGTTCTTTGTTGATTCCTTGTGCAGTGGGTGGCAACAAATCTCCGACGGAGCAGCCCATCAGGATCACGATCTTCTCCAAGCTACTCATGGATATTCAACTTAAATGGCATCTCTGAGATGTACAAGTCATATGAAGATACTAACCTATGGTAAATAATCACCAGTGCCTGCCGAACAATATAAAGTCTGTGAACTGTCTTGGGAAGCTAACTGAATGCTTCATGCAGGAGGATTGTAGAGAACGTACCACGCGGGGTACACATTAATTTTCTCAAGGCCGAAAGAAGTTTGCATAGATGGGCTCTTGAAGACCTTCAGAGAATTCATACCGCGGAGGAGGTGGCTGCGGATGAGGCTGGAGGAGTTGAAATGCATGTGCTCGAAGATGCTGGACACTGGGTATGTATGCTGCCTCCCTGTAATCGCGTTTTTTTTTAACCAGGCTATCACCCTTTCCATTACTTGGCATAACGGAAATACAACAGTTGGAAGGCAGGAGACAAGAAAGGGGGGAGCGAGTCCAATGCACTGCCAGGAAACCCACCCCGCACGCTCACAATTGAAACGTGCACTATGAGGCGAAAACCTGACAGCACCAACTACAGGAACTATCCAGTAAACCATATAAAGCAGTAGCATACAAGCTCATCCCAAACACAGCTAGAAAACACTCTAGTAAACTATCCAGTAGCGCAAAAGCATCGACGACGAAAGACAGCAGCGTTAGGGAGTCTCTTCAAGCGGCAGAGCACCCACCCTTCACAGCGTCGCAGATCCACATATGGTTGATGCCATTGGTTCGGAGGAGCTCGGCACCGGTCTTCAGCACATCCTTGTTCCCTTCCTTCTGAATACCTGTCCAGGACATAAAAAAAGTACAGGTCGAAAACACAATCTCAAACGGGGTATTAACAAGTGTTCCTTCAAAGGTCACTTTATTTCTGGCATTCCTGGTTGCCCACACAACAGCAGCAAGCCCAACAGTGAATAGCTCTTCACCACCAGGGCAGAAAGTATAACACGAGGAATAGTATTGCCAGCAATTATCAGGACACATCTCAGTCCCAAGTGTGACCCCCACCATTCGGCAAATCACCTTAGCAACCAAGCACCTGAAAAACAAATGCTGAGAAGATTCAGCTCGATTACAAAAGGAACAAACAGGATTTCGTGGCCACTTCCTAATTTCCATAACTTGTCTGGTCAGAACAGCTTTTTGAAACATTTGCCACAGAAAATTTTGAATCTTAGGAAGAAATTATTAATGTCAATACTAGGAACTTTTTGCACCATACAGTCCTGCTCATTGCAAATGTTAAAAAGCATAGGAAAACAATCACACAAGGGCTGCAGTCCATTAAGAGTATCTTTCTTTCCACAATCTAGCAATATCCCCAGCTCCTAGTTTAATTTTCCCACCAATCATATAAAGATCTTTCATTTTAAGCAAAGACTTCCAGCAGGAGAATCAGAGGATCTAGATTTAACAGTAGCCACAATGCAATTAAATACTCCCTCTGTGACTTAGGATCTTGGAGTAGATATTCCAATTTCCACCACCACCTGACAAGCCAAATAATACTCCTTCCGTCCATAATATAAGATGTTATTACAACCAATATTATAGGACGGAAGGAGTATTTTGCTTCCTTGAATCCTTAACACCCTCCTTTATTTTTAGATCTAGAAATCCTAGACCATCTGACCAAATGATATCTTTATTACCCTGTAATCATGTTACTGCGGCATTTGATAGGATGTTGCTCATGACAAATATTGAGGTTTAACTTTGGATCCACCGTCCCCTTTCAGGTTCACGCAGATAACCCTGACGGTCTCTTCAGAATCCTTTCGTCAACCTTCCGCATCGAGACCAGCCTAAGAGGGCGGGAGTGAGGGCACAGAGCTCCGAGCGGCACCGCCACATCTCTATTTTAAGCGGGCGGGCCTGCCATGAACAACAATACATATGGATCGCATCGCAGTGACTGCCGCATTCCAGTTTTGTAGAATCGCAAAAGAGAGGTACAGATCAAACTGCGGCGGGCGAGCGACGACGGTGCCGAGTGCGATCACCGGCGTGATAGCGCATTCGTTCATTCATTCGTTCGTTTCTTCCATGTGCCGTGTATGTGATGGCGGACAGCCGGGTGCGGTTATTATGTACTGTAACAGAACCAACATGTAATTATCGATCTCGTCATACACTGGATAAATGAGTCGCTGTACAAACGGCGGAGAACTGGAAGCTACTGTAAGCAGTTTGTAATTAAGGACGTACCAGCTGCGTGTACAGTCTCTCTTCTTCATTTTTTTTGCGGGGATCGTGTACTGTCTTCGCCGGCGATGACCAGCCAGCAGGGCTCTGCCTACTTGTGGGTGCACAAGGGCGGCACGAGTGGCTGCTATCCGACCTGAAAGTCGGTGCCCTTCAACAAGGCGAGCCAGGACCCGGTGGCACTCCAAAGCAGTCCTGCATGGAAAAGGAGCGAACCAGGACCGCTTCAAAGGTCAAATTAAGCTCGCCGTGCGTGCGTGTGGACACTTGAAAACGTCAGAGCTTACGTTGCGGGAGAAAGCGAGAGTAAACGTGCCCGGAGTGGCGAGCCTCGCGCCGGACATCGACGTGCTCGGTGTTGGGTGCGTCGGCCTGCCTCAAAACGATCGCACGCAGATTGCCGTCTTGGTCGCTTGCCACTCAAGCCTCAGCCTTGTGTAATGGTAGCGGCCATCCTTGATAGAAGAAGAGAATGGGACTGGGACGGAATTGACCTGACCTTGCTGCTTTAATTTGGTAGAGCCACGGTTCTGTCTTGGGCCGTTGGGCGGCATGTTTCATGTTCGAGACATGCTCGCCCTGCCCAGTGGCGGTTAAGCAGTGAGTGCGTCTTCTTTTCATGTCCCGTCGCTGGCAAAGCCGACCACCATACAAAAACGGTGCCGAGATGCCACTCAAGTCACAGCGGACCAGGAATGAGTTCCTTCAAAAAAAAAATGACTTCCTTATTTTATGTTCAGTCGTGAGAATATCTACAATTAGAGATAAATAAAGGGTCTGTCTAGGGTGTGCCTTAGTTATTGCACATCTAAGTGCTCAATCAAACTAGAAAGAAGATGCTTGCACGAATCTTAGTGTAAAACCAATGATATAGGGCTTAAATGTGCAATACTTATAGCACATCTAGATGTGATTTAGTTAAACTGATAAATATATTAAACAAGCACTATTTGGTAATCGACACCGCAATGTGAACGTAGGGTTTTATCTTTCACTTTTCTCCCTATCATCCCTTCGACCTTCCTCCCTCCATCGATCTTCCCCGGTTTTCTACCCACTTCTGGATTTCGGCAAAGAAAATTTTGATAACACAATAAGCCAGGTCAATCGATGGTATATAGCAATAAATGCAGAGAGGTAAAACCTGTCTAGTTGTTTCTGCAACAAGAATTGTCTCGTATGGTCGTCTTATATTGTGTTAGAAAAATATTTGGTTCCCGTGGCTACACGGACACATACCTAGTCATTTTAAAATTTATACTTTCGCTATTCACAAAAAAATTAGGGTGGTCAAAGATTATTTAGCAACATGTATGTTGTTTTCTTCTTCTTCTAACAAACATGCTAATATTGGTCAAATAAAGGCTCTCTCCATAAAAAAAACTATAAATCACAATGCAACACCTGTTTTCCAGTTACCTGGATAAAATCAATTCATTTTGCCATTAAATGAAATCCAATTGCTGCCCGGCATCTTGCTCCTTTAGTTGAGCTTCTTCTCCCCATACTGTCGGCCGAACCACCGGCACCATGTCGCCACCCGACCCTGCCCACCAATTGCACCACTGACTTTCCTCTAAACCCTGCCCACCAATTGCACCCCCGACTTTCCTCTAAACCCTGCCCACCAACTCCGGCACCAGCGACCCCTATACCGCACCCGCGAACCCCCTGCTCGTCCTTCCCCCAACGAGCCGCGTCGGCCCCTTCTCCGGCGAGCCCCCACAGGGGACACCACATCCTCCTCGTCTCAACCTCGAGTGTTGTCTCCTCTCTATGGCGAAATCGACAAACCAATTTATTTAGTTGCCCGAGGTTTACCAAACGCAAAATCGCACGAGTTATACTAAAGTTACACTTCAAGTAACATAATGTCCAACTCAATTTATGTGATCTGATGCAAATTTTATAAAGTTTGAAGTACTTTCGAGTATGAATCCGATGATTTTAGATTACTAACTCATATATTGTTGATCAGATTGTTGGTTAGAGATAGATCGTGAAAAGCACAAACGCACGCATGTCTAATATGTTTTGGACGGAGGAGACACCGTTAGTTTTTTATCATGATTTGTTTTGACTAAAAAAAATCCATCAAATTTTTTATCATGAAATATACTTCCATAATATTATTATTTTTGAAAAGCTCAAAGATCATATAAAGTGCTAGCACAGACCTTAAAAACGCCATTTCAAAAATAAAATAAAATACGCATGTGGCATAATTATTTATGTTATAGTACTGACATTTTGGCTAAAAGTCAGTCCCTAATTAATACTCCTAACTACTCCGGCCTGTAGACTGCGATGGAGAAGAGGGTTCCCCACAGAATCTGACGGCGACTTGGGGAGCCTACCACTACGTGCGTGTTCATACGATTGACCCTTTGAAGATTTTGACCCCGTTGCTCCCATGCCGACCACAAATATCACCACACGGCTGTATTAGTACTGCTCACAGCTCACAAGGTCAAACCCAAAGCCGATTCGATCCTTCCGCATGCAGGGTCAACTCGTTTTTTGGGTTGACCTCTCACTGGTATATAAGCGTGTGGTACGTAGTACGTTCACTTGGAAGCTCGGCCGTGCGTTGAGAAAGAGGCGAGGTCAGAGGCTCGGAAGGTGGTCAGAGATGAGCAGCGCGGCGGAGGCATCGGCGGCGAGGGGCGGCGAGGAGGAGAGGTGCCGGTACAAGGGCGTGCGGCGGCGGCGGTGGGGGAAGTGGGTGTCGGAGATCCGGGTGCCCGGCACGAGGGAGCGGCTGTGGCTGGGCTCCTACGCCACGCCCGAGGCCGCCGCCGTCGCGCACGACACGGCCGTCTACTTCCTCCGCGGCGGCGGCAACGGCGCCGCTGGGCTCAACTTCCCGGAGCGCGCGGCCGCCGCGTACGGCGCCGGCTGCGTGGCGCCCCTCTCGCCGCGGTCCGTGCAGAGCGTGGCGTCCGACGCCGGCATGGCCGCCGACGCGCAGCTCGTGGCGGCGCGGGACGGCGCGCCCAGGCAGTGCTACGCGGAGGCGCGCGCCGGCGCAGGCGCTGCGCAGGGTGGCGCGAACGCGCGGCACGCGGAGTTCCAGCACGACGGCGCGTACGCGTACACATATACGGGGGACGGCGGGGACACCACTGGCGGCGGTGGCAGCAGGGGGCAGCTTGTCTCCGGCGAGCTCAGCGTCGACGACATGGAGATATTGATGTAAAATTGAGCATACACCATCACCGGTAGTCCGGTACTACGTAGAATTAGCTGATGCAATAAAGATCGAACACCGGTCGCAGTTGGCAAGGTTGAGCCATTTGAAATTCGAAAATATTACTTCCGCGCGCACGTTCGATATGGAATGATTACTACCTACCTGTTGACATTTGAAATTGGCGAGACATGTAGCCAGCCACTGCGTATGCAGCAGTGAGTGGCGACAGTGCTCGTATGCATGGCCACCGGCACGTAGGCGAGGCCCCGCTCGGGTGATCTGATGAATGGCGCTGCGGCCTGCGGGCAGGCCTAGGTTGACCAGGCTAGCTGGCATGGATCGCTGAGGCTCTCCTTTCTCCAAGGTACGGACGGATGGCGACCGGTCAATGACCAGCAAACCCTTTTCGCCTGCCTGCCAGTGCCAAGGGAGGATGGGTCAGAGCATAGAGCAAGTTTAGTTTGATGTCAAAATTCCCTTTGCTAATGTTTGGTCAAAGCTAAAAAGTTAGCTATCACTTGATGCCAACTTTTTTTTGGAAGTTTGGCAATTGCCAAATGTTGTCTTGTCAACACATTGGCAGGTCCGCTCGGGGACTCTCGGGCGGTTTGGTTTGAGACTAAGTTTGCCTAAGGTTGTCATATTTAAAGTTAGACAAATTTGACCAACTTAGATGAGTATTTGCTTCAAGTCACATATTAGGCAAGCCACACCGGGTTCTCACATCACATACACTCAAAAAAGTGTGTCAAGATTTCCTTAGGCTTAACTTGTGCCTCTCATTTTGAAGAACTAACCTTAGGTAAGTGTGGCAACATTGTATGGCAAAGTGTGGCATTGTTAGGCCTAGAACCAAACAACCCCTATGTTTGTTGCGGGTATCAATGGGCCCGGTGTGGCATCGTAGTGTGGGGAGGGCTGCAACTAGTAGAGGCTTATGCGGTCAGCCGGTTCTGAGTAGTAGAGTGCGCACAAACGGGCGAGAACCTTGCCTTTGGCCCATGGTCGGAGTCGGCTAGGCGATGTCTACGGACGTCGTGTCCTTCATGAAGCCGTTGTGCCTATTCTTCCATGTATGCTCTAAGCAAAACCTCAGATCGGCTCTTCGATTGGACGACGGCGATGCCTCTTGCACCTGCCGTTCTCCTCATTGGAGGCTTCGTCTTTGGAGCTGGCCTATCGAAGAGATTAGTGTATGGTGATTTGCCCACATGGCGGCGTTGCAATTTGTTTGGCAACAACAATGCTTGTTAGAGGAGTTGGGTCGTGACTTGTCCTTCCGATGATGTTATTCCGATGAGCCTTTTGGATGTGCCTCTGTTGTTTCTCACCGTGATGCGAATAAGTTGAAGTTGTGTGATGATGTTACGGCGTGCAGTCATATTACTATGTGCATCATAGTGTTGCAGAGGCTGAAAGTTTATG